CTTAAAACCCACGCCGGGCGCGTGTGCGTGCGTGCCCAAGATCCCGAGAGGAGAATGGAGGAGAAGGGATTGCGGCGTGGCCATCCCCTCTGGGGGGTGATTTCTCGCTTTCTGTCTCTCTGTCTCTCTCTGTCTGTCTGGCGAGCGCACGTGCCCTATAGTGAAAAACCTCTCAAAAAAAAAAAAATACCTGTCAGTGTTCACGCGAAGTGATGTTCGCCTTGTCCCGTAGACCCATAGACAGGAGTTGGCAGTTGTAAACAAGAGACAGACTGTTAGTTTGAACCAGATGAAATGGCTGGGAGGTCAGAAAAGGTCGCATACCAGGGTTCTATGTGGTTCCCTGTTACATAAATCCTCGGGCAAAATGGGATTGGTGTGAAACCACTCTGCACTGGTGGTGGAGAATAGACAGGATCTGATGGTCATTGGTGGGAAGAGGAGCTTAGGGTTGCTCCAGGGTGGAGTGTGTCTAGAAGGTGAGATGACGAGAGACCCTTTGGATTTGCTAGAGAGGAACTTTGAAGAAGGAGAAACTTGGGTCCTCCAAACCGGGCTCCACGCCTCACTCTCCACCCCTCCTTCCCTGCAACCCTAAGGAAGAGCCTTCCTTCAGGCCACCTAGATCATCATGAGGATGAACTGAGCTGTGAGTGTGGAGGGGGGCAAGTAGCTTGTAAACCAGCTTTGCTAATATTTCTGGCTATCGACCTTCTCAAGGTCAGGGAGTGATGTAGTGGTTAAGGGACTGGATTCCCAGATGGTTGACTACAGTTCAAGTCTCAAACCCAGTGGCTTGACAATCACACTGGGTGCATGTATATGCATGTGCAAAATTCCAAGAGAATGGAGGACAAGGGATTGTGGCATGGCCATCCTCCCTGGGGGTGACTTCTCACTTCCTCTCTGTCTCTCTCTCTCTCTCTCTCTCTCTCTGTCTAGCAAGCACATGCACCCTTGCACCTGTCATCCTACTATGTCAATGTGTCAGGGCTATTGTTAGGGTCTGACTGGCGAGAAAAGGTTCTAGTGAGTAAATGCAAGATAATATTATTTTAAACCCACTTGTTAAAACTCAACGTCTTTCATTTTTATTTTTTTAACCTACGCATCAGTGATTTGGTTGTAAGCTATAGCCCTAAATGTGCTGATCAGATTATCTTTCTGCCTTGCTCTCTTGTTAGCTTTTTCCATGTGTGTGTGTGTGTGTGTGTGTGCACGTGCGCGCACACACGCGTGTATACAAGCTTTCAGTCTGTTTCTCTGCTCGCTCTCTCTCGCTTTCTCACTGGTGTATCCAGCTTCTCTAGGAACAAAATCTTTACAGCTGGATTCATGTGCAATGTCTTTTCCTTTTGCATTCCAGTTCCTCCAGGAGTGATCCAGAATGGAGCACGGGTTCTGAGCCGAGGGCTGTTTCCTGGTGTCCGGCCATTGCCAATCACTCCCATTGGGATGACAGCAGCCATGAGGTAAGGAGGGGCTTGCTGCACAGGGCCTTCCTAAGGCATGGAGAAGGCATCGCTTCCATGGGCCCCTGCATAGGGTGGAGAGCATGAACCTCTAACTCATGAAGACAAGGAACCTGGTTTGAGTGTTCAAAAACAGTCAAGTGACCCCCAGAGCCCTTAACCCAAATGTCAGCTTCTTCCCTGGCATCAAACTTGGCCTGCTTTGTTTGCAGATAAAGAAAAGGGGACAAGTTTTGTTTTGTTTTGTTTTGTGTTTTGTCTTTTCATCTAAAAAGGCAGGGTAAGAAGGAAAAGGAACTGGTGAGTGAGTTGTCAATTAGGTTCTAAACTAATGGGTCTGTTTCCCCATCCTGTGACTCTGGGCTGGTGTCTGACCTCTGTGGGCCTCAGTTCCCTCATCCAGGAACTTCCTGTGCCTCCCAAGAAGGGTTGCGATGAAAATCAAATGCAGAAGTCGCAAGTGAAACATGTTTTGGTGAGCAGCCGGCAAATAGCAGGTGGCATCTCCACCACCAGCCCCAGCTCAGCGGCCACTGCTAGCTTAAAACCTTCACATGCACCAGCAGGGTCAGCTTTTCCCACTTTCCCTGCTGCTTCTCTGCCCACTCCTGTCCATCCGTCCACCACTGCCAGACCGGCTTCCTGAGCTGTGCCGCCCTGCTCTCTGCAGAAGCACCTCCTCTGACTCCCACCACATTGCCCCGACTTCCTCGCAGACCAGACCACTCCAGAGCGCACTCCTGGATGCTTTGTGACTGTGGCTTGAACCAACGGCAGACGGTCTCTTTTTCCTATAAACCCGCTAGCCCCAGGCTTCAAACGTGGCCCTTTGATGAGTGACTCTGTAAGGCAGAGGTTCCACTCTTCATCTCTATCCTTGGTGGTCTTCATACTGAGGATGGGTCTGGATTGCACTCAGATGCCTATTCCTTCCCCTCCGTGCAGGATACCCATCCCGGTACTCAGAAAAGGCCATCTCGCTGGGCCGCTTACCCTAACAGCATCACCTCTTTCCTTCCTCTTGTGCTTGTGGGTCATTTTCCTTTTATAGTGTTTCAAGTACCAAGAAAACAGTCCCAGAAAGTCTGTTTGGGGGAAGTGCTGGATCAGACTGCCTTGTGCATATCAACCTTGTAGAGCTTCTCCATGAACTTATGTAACTTATGTCTTTTTTTCTTTTTTTTGGTCATAGGGCACGTGTACTCACCAGAGAGAGACAGAGAGGGCAAATGAGAAATCAACCTCCCTCCGGGGCAGTGGGGAAGGTCTTGGTGCAATCTTTTCTCCTCTCAGCATTTTGGGCATGCACGCACATGTGCCTGGAGTGTTTTTGAAGCCTCTGGGTCCAGAACTCAGACCTCAAAGTCCACTATCTGGGATCCAGCATCTTAACCATCATGGCACCTGCTGACCCAAGCTTATGTCTTTTAACTCTTGGCAGACCAACCTACTTTTACCAGACTGGAAGTTGTTTAACTTTCAGGGCAAACTTTGGGGTCTGGATCCTGATAAGGAGGGATGCTGGTAGGGTTTAGAGTAGTAATAGATTACTGGATCTGGATGGTCTCGCAGCTGTGAAGACAGAGCTTTGTGAGGATGACCCATGTGGGAGAGTCCAGGTTCCTGACCAGAGATCTTTTGAGTTTGTTCGGTGCACGTGTGCCCATGATCTGGGGCCGACTGAGGCTCCAGATGGATTGTGGTATCAGGATCCTCTTAGGGGTGCCGGCTCTCTATCTCCCTCTCTGTCTCTCTCACTCGCAGAAATAAAGAAACTTAAAATAATAATAATTGATTATCAAGCTCTGTCTCACTTCTCTTAACCCAACAAGGAAATGCTTTCCAAAAATATGTGGGAAGGTTCTTTTCTTATACTTTCTTAATGTATTTCCTGGTTACTCTTTGATCAGTACTTTGTCCTGAGCTCGTAAATGGTAAAACCTCTTTCATGAAGCCAAAACACCGAGACCCTCACCTTATTTGTGAAAGAGACCTATCCTATTTCCCATTATTTCTTAAAATCTTTCTTGGGCTATCCCATAGCCTCATGGTGAAGGGACCCAGTTCCCACATGGTGGACTAGGGCTTGAATCCCAGCCCTGGCAACTTGAAAGGCATGCCAGGTACATGTGTGTGTATGCCCTAAGTCTTGATAGGATGCAGAAATGCAGACAGGATTGCAGCATGACACACCCTACTGAGGGGCTGTTCTCTCTCTCTGGCAGGTACACTCTGGCAATATAAAAAGGAAAGAAAGAAAGAAAGATCTTTTTTTTTTTGAGAGAGAGAGAGAGAGATTTTTGCTGTAGGGTGTGTACAGTCACCAGAGAGACAGAAAGCAGGAAATCACCTCCCAGGGGGATGGCCATGCCACAATCCTTTCTCCTCCATTCATTCTCCTCTTGGGATTTGGGGCATGAACACACACATGCCAGGCATGAGTTCCAGGCCACCTGGTCCAGGGAACTCAGACCACTCTTGACCATATGGGAGTCCAGTGCTTTAACCACTATGCCACCTGTTGCCCCTCCAAATTCTTTTAAAAATAGTGTTGGGTGGGACCAGCAGTTGGCATAATGCTTATGTCACTGGATTCCCATGTAGTCAACCACGATTCAAGTCTTGGACCTGGCAGTTTAAAAACTCACACTGGGTATGTATGCATGCCTACCCAAAATCCTAAGAAGAAAATGGAGAAGTAGGAATTATGGCGTGGCCACACACACCCCCTCCCCCCAGGGGATGATTTCTCACTTTCTGTCTCTCCAGTGAGCACATGCACCCTGTAGCAAAAATCTCTCTTAAAAAAAAATAGTGTTTGGGGGAGATCTTGTTTTGCTCTTACGGAGTCATTGTAATTTTAAAAACATTTTAATTTGGCTGTGTATCGGTTGAACCTACATTCAACTGAGGTTGAAAAGAAAACAGCCAGTGTAGACTAGAACACCACCGAATGCCATCTGCTAGCCCACGTGGTACTCGGGGGTTCTGTGGTTGCTCACATGTTTGCAGGGGTGAGGGGAGGGCAGGAGAGTCATTAGCACCCAGTAAAAACCTATTTCCTACTCTCTTTTGTGTGACAGGTTTTCTGTGAGTCTAAGCAACTTCTCTTTAAGTGAAAATATTTGTCTTTCAGAGATTTTTTTTTCTTCCACAGAGTGGCAAAGGCCATGTTTGTTTGTCTTAACTCCGAAACTGTTATTGACATAGATGAAGTGCTACTTTTATTAGCTGATCATTACACAGCTTGTATTTGCTGGGTTCCTTTGCATATAATTATGATGTGGAATCTCCTGGTAAGAGTGTCTGTCAATAGTGTAATTGACTTAACGGTGTTGACTTTTTACTCAATAACCTCAGAGATTGCCCCATCCTTAGACCTCAGAAACCTGCTTATTTTTAAATTTGCCTGGGCGTGGAGTCCCCAAGACACATCATCCTCAAAATAACTGCTCACACATCTTAAAGTTTTATGCCTGTGTATTCTGCTATTTTCCCAGTGAAATCCCTTACGGAGATTACAGTGAATGGAAGAAATGATTATAGCCCTAGAAGAACTGTTTCTGGCCTTGAGAAGCAGGAGCCCCAGGTTTCTTATGTTTGTAACATTATGGATCAGGGCCATCTTGCTTTTAATCTTGGGGGCACTTTTTTTTTTTTTTTTTTTTTGAGAGGTTTTTACTATAGGGCGCATGCGCTCGCCAGACAGACAGAGACAGACAGAGAGACAGAAAGGAAGAAATCACCCCCCAGGGGGGATGGCCACACTGCAATCCCTTCTCCTCCATTCTCCTCTCAGGATCTTGGGCACGCACGCACACGCACCTGACGTGAGTTTTAAGCCACCGGGTCCATGGACCGCAGTCAACTACATGGGAGTCCAGCAACATAGCCATTACACTAACTGCTGGTCCCTGTGGGGCTCTTTTTGACCCCCATGTGGCCACCCACCACATACGTAGCAGAGAAGGATTCAATGTCTGGCGCTTAACAGAGGTTTAGGAGAGAGCTTTATAGGAAGTGGATCCTTCGTAGGACAACAAATCCCAAAAATTAAATGCATGAATTCAGGCAGTTTCTTGGGTCCGTATCCTGTAGCTATGTGACTGGGCAGGTGCGCGTGGGCTTTTCCCAAGGAAACCTGTACCGCCTTGCGGGTGATTGGAATTGACACACAGTTATACAGCTGGCATATGGTAAATAGTATGCAGGTGTTTGACCAATAAACAGCGTGGACAGCCTTGTAGATTTTTCCAGCCTACCCTCCACAGTCCTGCCCAGGCCCCTTTCTGAGCACATAAACCTAACCCCCACACCTCAGGAGAATGCTTACATTAGACTTTATACCACCATCAGCTGGGTGTACATTTGTAACAAAGCCAGGGCTATGAGGAATGATGACAATAATCCAGACTACAAGCCCAGATCCAAGCATGTTATATGATCGTTAAAAAAAGAAGGAAAAAAGTGTCATTTAATCACCATTCAGGGCTGCTTAATTTTATTTGGCTCTTCACAAACCTTAAGTGAAAACTGCAGTTCCCATGGAATATGAAGCAAATAAGACATTCATGGTCCTGCTGCAATACCAAACATTAATTCTTCAGGTCATGTCACAATCACTAGGAAAATGCATCTCTCTACCTAAGTCCTGCTTCTGGTTGGCTGTCTTGTCTGTCTTCCTCCTCGAGAAGGTATTTATAACAGCAGTTTAGGAAGCTGGCGCACCTCAAGATCAAGATAGGGGTGTAGTCTGACTATACTGACTATATAACTTTAGGGAATATTTGCCACTGATCTTCTTTTATTTATTTATTTATTTATTTATTTATTTATTTATTTATTTATTTGAGAGGTTTTTTATTTATTTATTTATTTATTTATTTATTTATTTATTTATTTATTTATTTATTTATTTATTTATTTATTTATTTATTTATTTATTTATTTATTTATTTATTTATTTATTTATTTATTTATTTATTTATTTATTTATTTAT